ATCTATATCATGCCGGTTGCCAGATAAATTTACGGTTTTGTTGACTTCTCAATGACAGCAGTGATTACTATTATTAGTCGGATTGACAAATTCAGCCGATCTTTTGAGTCGCGATGACGAGATAGGCATTCGTGTAATTAGAGTTCTTCAGTCGGAAATGTATTCTTGAAATTGTGTTTTGCATTCTCAAAATGAAAACATGATATTTCTATTCAGAGCCCTATCAAGTACAGTAAATAGGTCATTGCTTTGTAAACTTAGCATTCTACTAGCTTTTGTACATATAGTAGCGAAAACGAAGTTAATCTCCGAATCTCCGTAGATCAAGATTTCGCGGCCTCAGCGGTCTTCTTTTGTAACCAGTAGTATGCATTATAATCTCGCCAAACTTGAGCATCTGGGTTCAACGTCCAAGTTGATTTCTTCATCTCCAGCATTTTCCAAATCTTGGGCGGTTTAACTCCATCTGCGAACCACTGTCTGAACTGCGCAGCTTGCAGTTCAGTTGCCAGTGCATTCGTACTTGGATTCTTCTTTGCCGCCTCGAGCGCCGTTGATACGGCTTTTTGTTCGTAGAATCTCATCATTTCCTTAATAAGACTTGTCCGCTTCACTCCATTGAACTTGTTGTATACCTCTATGTATCTTTCCAGGATGTTTAAATTCGGGCTCGTAAGAAGCTTCTCCATCCCTTCGTCGAGTTTCAGCAGTCTGAATATGTCGTCTATAGAGTTTGTCTGCTGCATCCAGCCTGTCATCTGGATAAACTGCAGCTTTCTCGCGATTGAGTTTGTGCTTTTAACTTTTACACCTGCTTGGAGTATCTTTGCCAACACTTCGTCACCGTAGACAGTTGTCAACTTAGCAACCATAGCCACTTCGGGGTACTTTTTGTTGGTCTTGGTCATATAGGAGACCCATGTGCCGAATTGTTTGTTCTCCAGGATCTTATCACCGGCCTGGTCAAGTTTCAGCAGCACGAAGACGTCATCCGCCGGAATTCCTTTGAAACGCAAAGTCTCAGCCTTAATTGCTCCTGTGATCTTGTTCCCTGTCCTTTTGACTGGGTCCAGAAGCTTGTTAGCGCCAGAAAAGTTTATAGCTAGCCTTGCTTCATCGCCTGGTTGCGTGTCGCTCCTTAACAACCGCAGCGATGGAGCGTGCATTTGACCTGGAGAGACGCTGATAGAGTTTGCTGCTGCCAACGCTTTGAGACCCATCAGGAGAGCTGTCCATAGTAGCACGTGGCGCATTAGATCGTGTTTTTGGACACTCGTGTCGTGTCGACCACTTGGAGAGCAAATGCGAATGTGCACTCACTTTTTAGGTGGCTCATCAACCGCCAGTGAGCGTACACACCGTAATCAAACGATTGTTGCTCGTGAACAAGCATAGAGAGCTGTTGCGGATAAACCATTGGCTAATATTTATTTAAACAAGTTAACAACGCCGACCTGTCCATCACGCCATATTTGTAAACAACGTGGCTTTATTTTTACATTTCCTGCGACTTTAAAAAAATGGAGATAATTGATACGTGTATGAGATATTGAATGTCATTGTAGTTGTTTCTATTAGCATCTCGCTGTGGTCGCGCACAAGTCATACTGAATGAAAAAGATTAAAAAGAAGAAGAAGGGTGATGAGTGGTGGTGCTAATACCGGCAGCGCATCAAAAGATAGCATCCTCGTCATCCCATGATTTGCTGTTTACCGATGCATCCCACCACACAATCTATGTGAGCCAGCAGGCATAGGGAATGCTATCTTTGTAAAGTATGACATTGTCACAGCTTCTGTTTGGCAGCAGTAAATGAGCAACAGCGGCAGGGTACTCGAAAAACATCAACACAGCAATCGAGTTTAAGGCCAACAGTGTAAAGTGCCATAGTTGGGAACAAGTTGACGATCCGCACAATCGTATTCCTCGAAGTAATACCAATATATAGGGTTAAGTAAGCCGAAAGATTGTATCGTCGTTAAGTGACATGTGAGACTCTGCTTCGGATTTGGGAGTGGAGTTACATATTAGGAAAGCGGAGGATACAGAGCCGAACTGTAGGTCGAGATATTCTGGAGAAGGTAGCTGGTAAGAGGAGAAGTGAAGGTTAATTATCCAGAACGGACGAAGTCCTCGCTCTTTAAAATCAATTTTGTGTTGTAATGCATCGAAGAGCGTATCGAAAAGTCGATCTGAACGCAGCTCCCACTACCCCGACGAAGGGTCGAAAAATCTAAGGCGTTTCAGAATGCACTTAAAAATATAAAAACTACTAAATTATTATCGCTATCTGAAAACAATGGAGAGTGAACAATCTTAAAGCCGATATATGGTAAACTACTATTAGCGGAATTAATTAAAAATCGATCAACCTCAACTCTGATTACCCCTACAATTCGGAAGCCCTGTATACAGCATTAGGGAAGTCTGAGTTGCGCTCAGATCGTCCATCGTTGACTACATGTATCGACCCTGTGTGGAGTACTGGACGAAACGTTTTCGTCACGAAAATCCGGGGTAAACAGTTTATTTTGAAAGCTGTACTCATTTTTCGACTATTTATTGTTAGTTTTTGTAATTGTAGTATTTCAGGCAATCACTTCGGACTGACTAATCGAGTACTAATTTTGTGCCTCTTTTGCATTTTGGACTATTTACATTTTTGCGACTCGGCTAGCTGAATCACAAAAAAACACTATTAATTGAAATATATTATTAAAAAAAAGTGACTAGTCGAAAATTAAGAAGTGGATAGTCTAAGATTAGCACCCGCCTGAAAACAGCCTGCAAGCAGCAGTTGTTTTAGTATCAGGTCGCTATTAGGAGTAAGAACTACTCCTAATAGTTAGCGACTCTACATCTTGTCCGGGCCAAAACAAACATTCGTGCATAAAATCAATGTTCATACGCATACGGCATTATGGCAAAACTTGCCCAAAACGTTGCACTTCTGGCTGAGCGAATACGTATAAGCGAGTATTTCCGGTCACTTAGTATTTACGCTCATTTTTACGCAATGCTGATGGAGATGAGTAGTTCGTGAATGGAGGCGTGATGAAATTTCTGCAGTGTTTTACGATGTTTAATGCCCCTTTTGTACAGCTTTTGGCCTCTTAAGTTTTAATCTCCACGCTACTAGATCGTCTTGAGTTAGCAGGGAATACACTTTATCACGTAGCGAAAACTACTAGAAATACATATCAGTGATTCTGCCTGTTCAGTTGAACGCGAATAGAAAAACATAGCATATGTTAGCAGAACACTTGATTTTGCTGTCTACACCAAGACAATTTTATCGGAGAATACCTCACCAGTGGACAATAACATGTTCGGACATTATGGAAACTATACAAGTGTAAAAAAGAGAATACGGATCCAAGTAGCCACACTCATTGCAGACCGACAGCTCAACGATTTTTCGGTATGCAGTACAACTCCAAAGCTTCATTCGAAGCGTCAGTCCTAAAACGCAGCCAAAGTACCCAACGGGTCTTGCATTTGCTCATAAGATGGCCCACAGCATTCTCAGTTATCTTTCGAGACGTTTCACACACCTCCCATGCAAAAATAGATATACATAGAAGGAAACCTTCATGTAGTGGAGCCAATCAGATTGCTGGAAGCCTCATAATCCCATTCGATTGGGTGTAAATGCACAATGATATTTCCCAGAAATATGTCCAATACAAACATGAATTCCCTACGGGTTTGGCATATCATTGTTTGTATTGCTTCAACGGCTCGCAGTGTTTTACAAACTGTAAGGGTAAGACTGGGTCGAGCTGGCAGCAAAAATGCATCGATTAACGGATTCCACATAAAGGTTTATATTGCTGTGTATCTCTTTTTAGGTACTTCCTCTTGAGATATTAGATAATGCTGCGTTTTTAAGCTTAAAAGCTGCTAGTTTATTTTAAGTTTATTTTAATGTGGTTTTTCGTCACCAATTGTATAAACAAAACACGAAATGTGACGCTTCTCCTTTAGCTCATAAAATGTCCTCGCTGGATGCATGGCAGATGTTAAGTCCTCACGAGTACAAGCAGCTTGGACTTCGACAGGCCAACAAAGAAAAAAATACGAGGGTAGCAATCCTGCGAGAGTTCGCGACCAAAGACCGTTAATTTTTAACTACTCACTATAAAGAATTGCTACAAGCTTTTTTTGTAACACATTTGCAATATCAACGGCATTTTGGGTAAGGTAAAATTCGGGGTGGAATGTACAACGCAGTTTTCTACTGTACTGTTTACGTATATGTTTATGGGACGGATTAGCGTGGTGATTACGGAACACTTGCTTGCGGAATTCAAAACCACATCCCATTTATAAAATCTAAAGGGTTATTGACCAGCACTCTAGTTCATAAAATAGAGCAGGTATTGGCGACAAAGGAGAGGCTCGATTTTAGCAGTTTCCTGCTAAAACTGGCGTAATCAGCTACAAATGGTTTTTACCGTCAATCGCGCAGACACAAATGGGGCGGAACTCTTAAACATGAACTCCTGTTTAAGTGTTTCTGTACACCCTAGAAGGCCAGAGCAAGTGTTGAGCATTGACTTACTTGTTTGTAAACAATAAGAATGAGCAAAGTGGTGGAGGACGTGGACCAACAGAGGTCAACTCCACCTTTAGCATGCTAAAAACATAGGTTCACTTTTCAATTTACCAAGCTTCCTCTACACGTTGCACGTTTGCTCAACCTTCAGTTTACTTTTGATGTCAGCTGAATGTTGAGCGAGATAACACCGAGCGAGTTACGCAGTGGACCCCCCCCCCCCCAATTGACGTAAGGAGGTATCATATGCAATTTCTAGATTCATCGCTTAACATAAGAGTTGCACAGGTACAGAATGTCAATGGTTTCTCATGTATGTCTAGATTATGTGAGGAGCTTGTTGAAAGAAAGGTGATGGGTGATGGGTACTTCTCCTTACAAAATCAAAGATATAATTTTTGTAGTTGTCCGTTGCTAGGGTGCAAAGTTGATTTTACCCAGAAGTTTATTACGACTGGTTTTTCGTATCACCAGACGGGCGGTGGGGATATACCAAATCTATCAACTCTCGAAGACTTTGACATATTGCAGTTTTGGTCGGCGTCCAGTACCGTGGAATTAATCCGTTGAGGGTTGTTCATACTTAAAGGTATTCCCAGTATTATTAAAACAATTGCATTGAAACCTTATTACTATGGCGCGATCGCCAAGGGAGGGTGCTTTCCTGAAAAGAAAAAAAACATTTTAGGTACTTCAATAATGCAATATTTCCTTAAGTAAGTAACGTATAATACGTATTAGAGTGCGGGACTCTATTTTTTTTAGAGTGCGGTAAAATCGAAATTGCGCACTCTATTTTATGCGCACTCTATTCCGACATCAGCACTGACAGCTCAGGTGGTTAAGACACTTGGGTTTATTGAGGGCCCAAAGTGGGAGCAGGGTTGTCGCGGATTCGATTCCCATCGAATACGTTAATTCTCCGTGCTAAAATGGTAAGTCTCCTTCTGCATTGTCATTAACCTAGCTGCAAGCTCGCTAACATATCTTTTGCTTCAGTTTAATCCTCAATGACGATGTCGTCCAGCGTCTCCATGATGTGCTCGTAGCTTTCACAGTCGTCAAAGCTTCCGCTGTCATCTTCGGCACTGTCGTGGCTACGGAGTTCCCAATCCATTCGAAACTTGGTCCCGTACACGTCGTGACGTGCAATGTGCCACGATGTAGGGTCATCGCTAAAACCACAGATCGAAACGCTTTTCGCGACGACAGAGTCTGGCGTCTGTCGCCACGCTTTCATTACCCATGCTGCGACCAACTCGACCTCAGGCGGACGAGGGTTCCCCCCTCTAGTGTAGCGAACCTGGTCCGAGTGTTTCCACTCATTGATGATCTTGCACAGGTTGTCCTTAAAGGACTTGTAGATCCCAACATATCCCGCCTGGAGGTAGGGCGTCAAACCTCCTGGAATCACGACCATGCCGATCTCCTTCTCGTGGCAACGCTGCTTGACCTTCTTGGCGATATGAGCCCGCATCGAGTCCCAGATGACATACTGCCCAGTCGTTTTGGCTACTTCAGGGAAGTACCAATCCAGCCACTTGAGGAGAAGGTTCTGGTCCACCCACGCTCTCTCTTGATAAGCAACGTAGCACCCACCAACACGCTCTATTGGTTCCCGCGTCTTTCGCTTCCAGATAAGACACGGCGGTAGCTTCTTCCCTGATGCTGTTACTGCAAGCGCCGCAGTAATCCGCATGGAAGAGAACCCAGTAGAGCGAATGACAACGTGACGTGCTCCAACCTCGTCGACCGTGTGCGTTCGAGCATCCTCAAAGTAGACAGCAGTCTCGTCCATTAGAATAGTTCGGTCGCGGTTCATGGATGGCTTGTGTTCGCCCAAATAGGTCATGTAGGAAACCGCTCGCTCCACCAACTCGTCGTCGCCGAGTGTTGTGAGGTTTGTACGCTTTCGAAGTGTTAGACAGTTGCGCTTCATGAATCCTTGCACCCACGGATCGGACGCGACGAATCGGATTGGGTCGTCTTCGTGCTGCTTTTCCGTGCGACTTGCCTGGAAAAGTGCAATAGCAGTCAATGCTATCCACTCCCGCGTCACTTTCTCTTTCCGTAGACGCTTATCGTACAGCAAGTCCACCAACTCGTCTTCAACAACTCCTAGGAGGGGCTTGCGGCCCCCACCAAAAAGCCGAAAGCGAGCAACAGACTCCGTACGAATTTGGTCGCGATCACGCCACCATTTGCGATAGGCAGACGCCGACACTCGCCACCCGAGCTGACGAAAGTGCGGCTCCGCTCGAGATGGAATTCCACCACCTTCGGACTCAATCCAGTCGATAGCCTGTTGCTTGAGACTGATCTCGACGGACTTACGTTGTGCAGGTATAGCAGAAAGGAGACTGATGAAACAAAAGCACTTGAGCCTTGTGAGTGGTGAAGAAGGAAACGAATGGCGGTGGCAGTGTTGGGCGAAACGAGTGGTGTCTAGAGCTGTGGTTTAGGTTGCACTGTCCAGATCTTGAAAGGTTGTTTTGTTAGCGCACTCTAATTGATCGCACTATATTTTTTAGAGTGCTCTGCGGAACCGCATTCTATTCGAAGGGCACTCTATTTGCTAGGGGAACTCTAATCGATATTATACGTTAATATGTTGGACGGTGCATTTTAGCCGAAATAATAAACTTCGAAGTAATATACTGTTATTTTCGGAAATTATGCAATTGGTAATGCTAATTTCGGAGATCCTGGTAAGCATCGACATCGACTTGAAGACGACGAAGATAATAGTGTCCCAAAGTTGTGGCACACCTTTTAAACTTTATATTAACCAAATTCTTGATGATGTTTCCGCAGAACTGAAGCCTGAGTTACGCGTAAAGACTCCATTTCAGGCTTCGTTGATCGCCACGTACTGCACACTGTTTTGTTTTGTTCACAGTGAACTTCCCAACGTCAGAGATATGTATGTGTCCGTCGTCGTAGACTCACAATCAGCGAAAAACTTAAACAATAGCAGAGTTCCATCCGAGATCTTTTACCCATCCACAGTGACAACGTTCCGAATAAATTGTCCAGAATGGCATCAACGACTCGAAGCAAAACCTAATTTTTGACCTAAAACCACTTTAAATGACGCAAGTTTTGTTATTTAAGCACGCGAGTGTTTGAGTGCAGCAGCCTCCGGATTGAATTCCGGGGTTTCAATAAACTGCAGAAAGAGATTTGTAAGTCGTTTGCGTAGCCCCTCAAGACTCTTCTCCTTCCGTCCGCGACTGAGCATGTCCGCTTCACGATCAATGAGCTCCACCAGCTCTCGAGTAAGAGCACAGTCGAACTCTTGCACTGTCCACTTGACATGCAGCAACATGTCCAAACGTTCGTCCACTGAACTGAGTGGTGTACGTAGTCCATGGTACAGGTCCATGAGCTCCTTGGCACGAACTGTGAACGGTGTATGCACCTCTTTAACACCTCCGTCACTCATCTGCCACTGCTTCGGACGTGCCATAAACTGTAACATGGCTTCAATACGCTGCTTACGGTTTGCCTCTGTGGCTGTCAGCTTGAGTCTGTCAATAGTCTGAAGTAATTTGGTCTCTTTAGCCAGAATAGCGTCAAGAGCGCGCTGTCTCTCGGACGGATCAAGTTCTCGTTGCTCTCGAACTTTACGGCATTCAACTTGTCGCCATTTTTCCAGTTCATTGTAGAGAATCTCGAAGTCGCTTACGGTGTTCGGGTGCATACGGCGATTAACCTCGCGACGTTGGCGGCTCACGTCTTCGGCCTCGTTCTCATGGGCTTCGATCTCTGCTAGATTGGTCACTCGGCGACGTTGTTCGCGTATACTATAGACGTATAGGCGAGCACGAAACCCGCGCCACCAACGCTGCATGAGGAGTACAGAGTCTTCACGAAGACTGTCTAATTGGTACGAATCGAAGTAAGGGCGAGCTGTAACATGGCGATCGAAGGATTCGTCGAGTTTGAGATCCCGTCGAGACATTTGAGTACCGGACTCACGATGTGTCTGTAGAGAGCGAGTCACGAGTTGTTGCGTTTGGGTCTCGCGGTGGAACCTTGCCGGACCCATATTATGACGTGCGCGGGATAAAACGGTCTGTAAATAGGAGTTATTTTAGTGTTAAGTCACTATTACGAGTAAAAGATGAGGAGTAGATACCTGAGTGGAGGCGTGATGGAATTGCTGCAGTGTTTTACGATGTTTGAAGCCCCCTAGATACAACTTGTGACCGGTGAATTTCTCTATCTCCACGGTTATTATGCTGGTACTATCGGTCTCCTCTGTCAGTTTTACAGCATCAGTACCAAATTAACGGCATTTTGTCAATTCTAAAACCTCACCGTTGTAAACCTGGACTTGTATACGATCTGGCATGACGTAGTTGCTAGTGGTGGGAGGTCTGGCGACGTATGCTTCGAGAGTGCACTCGGAATTCCCTCCAGGTAATCCGTACACTGATAGTGGCAAGTTCTCTTCGTTCTGGTCTGCATCTCGAAGTCCATGAAGATCTGGGAAGCTCACAAGTTCAGGGTTTAGCTGTAAATCGGTGCACAGAATTTTTCGTAGATTTCCAAGTGTAGTCTCGGCCGTGACAGTCACTCGATGTCGCACGTTGTCAGGTTGCAGCACTATGAGCAACGAAAACTCACAGCCTTCGAGCTGTTCGGAAGACGCTCGAATAAACTCATCCATCGCCATTTTTGAGGCAGACGACGGTTCTCCTGAGTCATGAGGGGCTGGAATGTCCTCATTCTCCTCCGTTGCCGGATTTCCAGCCTCATCAGACATGATCGGCTCCTCCGAAGCCATTTCAGACACTTCCGGCTGCTCTTCGTCAGCGGCAAATTGTTGCTCGTCCATGGCAAATTGGTTGAAAATTATCAAGCGAGTTGCACGATTCGCCCCTTCAGTTGCGTCGTTTCAAGTGTCCGTTCATTTGCATTTTTTTTTTTTTTTTCACTTTTGCCTTAAAGATCGAATGTGGCATTTTGTTTCAGGTATTTTTGATAAGGTTTTTGTATGGTGCATGAGGGAATCCCGTGTCTAAAGTTGCCAGATCTAAGCCGTGCGCTGTCGCTTGGCATCTTTTTTCTTGCGCATCAGAGCCGTCTGGAAGGCGTTCTTACGGCCTTCGTTGGCAACGAACTCCTTGCGCTTTTTCACCTTCTTGACCTTGCCCATGTCCAGGGTTTCGTCCCAATAGTCTTGACGACCAGCGTTGCGGTGTTTCCACTCCTCCTGCTTCAGAGCGTTCAGCACACGGTCGTGCTTTGAAGCCAACGCACTGTCGACTGCCACGTCGCTGCTCGTTGTCTCGGTGGACTCGACGTCAGTCTCCCCAGCCCATTTGTCCACTTCGCGACCAAACAACGCAGCGTTGCGCACTCCGACATTTTTAAGTCGCCGCGGGTCAAATGGCACTCTTGTAACTCCTGGCTTTGCAACAGTGGCAACAGAAACTTCTGGCTTTGATTCGATGGACTTTTCCGGCAATTCCTGGACCGTTCGGGTCATCACAAGACGCGGACAAGATTTCCACGAGGTTTGTCCAAATCGATGGAGCCGACCAACACGACCACCGAAACTAAGCGTTAATGAGCGCTTCATTCGGGGTCGTGCAACGACTGGCGTGTCGTTCGACGCCTTTGCTGTGACCTTGAAAGTCACCACCGTCTTGTGTTTGGCAGGAATCACAACCAAAGGTTTGTCACCTTCGGTATCAGTCACTGTGGTCTTCAGACTGGCAAGGAACCCGTTCATGTCCAGTTCCTTCGTTTTGGCTAGTACTGTCTTCGATGCAGCCATTTTTTCGGGTATTTCCTCCTTTTTAGCTGCCTCCACGAGCTCTTTGGCTTTAGATTTCGCCTCCTCTTCCTCCTTCGCCTTCGATTTCGGACGTTCCGAAGGAGGCAACACTCTCGAGTAGAAAAGCATGTACGCTTTCTGTTGCAACACTGTGTCTAAACTCACCCATCGCACAGAATCGTCGTTCATTTCGTACCACTGACCCGACGAGCCCTTGACGAAGGCGTAGTAGTGTCCACAGTCGGTTGAAAACCCCGCATGAACCAGCACAGCATGCAACTCGTACTTAGTACGGCCACGACGACGATCTTCGCAAGTTTTGCTCATTCCCGAGCCAATATCCAGCGAGCGAGGGAACTCGATATGGCGCTTAATTTTGCCAAACATGAGGTCAAAGCGCTTCAGTTGAATCATCAACACATTGGGACATTCGGCGATCGAAAGCCCCTTTTCGGCGCGACTGGGTTTGCCACAACTGGAACATTTCCATGCGTTGTGCTCGTCCAGTTTCTCCATGGCAGTGAAATGACGCAACGCACCTTTGACACTGTGGACACCGTTCGAAATTTCCAGTGACAAATCCAGAAAATCGTCGAACCGTTCGGAAACGAACCCGCACTTGGCACATTTGAGATAATTTTTCAATTTGCCGCCGAACATGCGGTGCACAAACGTCGTGGACGCTGCCGAGTGGCTTTCGCTCTTGATGTGCGCCTTGCGCAGACACGAACGCTGCATGGAATCCAGCAGCAGTCTGAAAAACTCGTGCGAATCTTCCTGTCGCCCAATGCGAAAACTCTTGGAAATGTGGCGTACGTTCATCACCAGCTCCTTGGGTTGCAACACCCGCACGGCGTTGTTGCCGTGCACTGATTGCAACAGTCTCGACATGGCGCGCACACTGCAAAACCCGTTGCCACCATTGCCACTGAAGCCATGTTTGCCGACTTTTTTGTTGAATTTGTTGCCGGTCGACGGCAAAGCTCCGTTGTTAAAGGAGGCAAAAACGTCCTTGTCCAACAGGAACTGCGCGAAACACGGAGTGTAGGTCAGACACTGCAACACCGAGTTGAGGTAGCAAGTGTTGCCCAAATTGGCGAAGCCCGGGCCGATTTTCTTCGAGTGTTGCCATGCCAGCACTCGCTCCACCGCCTCGGAGCTGGTTATTTCTTTTGCCTCTTTCTTCTTGGGCTTGACGTCACTCGAGTTGCCGTCCAACCGGCCGATCACACGCACGTTCTTGGCACGAACGAAGTCAATGCGCCGCTCGCTCACCAAAGCAACAGCCGATTTGCATTGCGCCTTGAAAGGGAGCAATGTACCATTGGCTGGCGTTTCGTTTAGGCTAGTTTTCGCGCTGTTGGTCGGCACATTCGCGGGTTTAAAGGCTGGAGACGTGGACGACGGGAGTCTGGACGACGTGGGCGCCAGCTCCGCTGCGCGTGGGGCCATGACCAGCATGGCGGACGAGAGGAAGTGAGCCCGATGACTGGCTGGGCTGAAGAGAGCTGGTGGATGAGCGGACAGTTTTTAAAATAGGGAAAGGGTTCATGCAAAAATTAAGTTCGAGATGAATGGGCCAATCAGAGAAGAAGTTGGTCTTTCATGAAGTAAGACAGTTTTGGAAGGAGAAACCAAAATTTCGCAAAAGTGGTTTACCGTATTTGTATGGAAGGTATTAATAAAACTTATGATGAATACAG